ATTTAATAATTTTTTTTACTTGTTTCTCTTGAAAATACAAAGTTGGTATCTTAATATTTATATAAGAAATCATTAGATAATTTGAAAAATATTCTCCAAATATACATCTTTTTTAAAATTTTTGCACAAGTTCTTAATCAGATCTGAAAAAAGTTTATTACAATTATATTGAAGTTATATTTATTTTTATTATTCTAGCAGTTATTTTTAGGATTCTTTCAACTTAATCAATATCCATAAAACTTAAACTTGACACCATATTTAAATAGGTAAGAAAAACTATTTATTCTAACACAATTGTTATCTATCTATATTTACATTCTAAAATACAGCTGTTGATATTCTTATAAAACAAAGAAAATGTTACTGAATAAAAACTTAATTTGGTTTCAAGAATTAAGCATTTTTCTTGTCTTACATTTTGTTTAAAAAAAATCTAATTTCATTAGTAAATCATCATTAGCATAAATCTCATAAAACTGAATCGTTATTTTCTTAAGTATTTCTTATTTTTGTGTATTCGTGTCATTATAATATTTAAAGTACATAGTTATATACAAACAGTAAATTAAAAATGTTTTAACAATTTAACTACCAGCATTTATATTAAATACTTCAACACTTTCTTTAATTTAAATGAAATCATCTCACCTACAATACCAAATGCAGACACTGTACGATTTAAACCTGATGATTTTTGTCCAGGTCTTGGTCTATTACCAACATCTATCATTGTAAGCAAGTCTCTGATTTCTTTATGAGTATATTCCATCTGAAAGTAAATTTAGGGTTTTCTACATTTAATACACAAAAATTCCTTTTATGTTAATTTTGTATATTAGTACACAAACAACATACCTTATCATCAATTACAATTAATTCTTTCAGCTCAGTTCTGTCAATTTTTAAAACTCTAAATTTTGTTTGAGTATTATTAGATCCAACCAAAAAGAACCTCTGAAAAAAATTGCATTAATATTTTTTAAAAAATATATAAAGTAATAAAAGTAAGTTATTATATATATCTGAGTATATTAATCAAAGTTAAAAATTTTAAATATTTTGTCATATTTTAATCATAAGACAAAATAAAAGCGATAAGTCTTTCACATGACATGATAGTTGTGAATACATCAGATATTTCAATGTTTGCTATTGCAACAAGTGAATGTAATGCATAGTGTATCATCCATCATCCACTAATGTAACAAAATCTCTGTATGATATCAGGTTAAGATTTACAATACTGATTTTAATATGCACACGAGATTCAGCTGTTTGAGGATCATCATCATTTGTACCAGATGAAAAATGTAAGAAAAATTTAACTTTGTTGAAATTTCATTAAAATATATTTACCAGAATATAAAATGCTTATGTTTAATGATTATGATAAATTAAATAACTTTCATTGCCTTTTTATTAAGATTTACATTCAATTTCGCATACACAATTGTATATGAATAAAACTATTCAAGTACACAATTGAAATTAAATAATAAGCTATGTAAAAACAAAGAAAACCATTTGAATCATTCATTCATTCATTCTTTAAAAAACATTGAAATATGTGAAGGATTTACATCTACATTTTATTCCCAGATTCCCTCAATAGTCATTTAAATTTAATAATATGATTAAAATTTTTAGTTATTAAAAAATAATACTTCAATCAACATTAGTTAATAAAATTAATAAACATCTCTAATATAAAAGAACCTAAACCGATGATTTTTAAATTAAAAGAAAACATTTTAAAATAGAAATTAAGCTTTCTAACTTTTAACACTAATTACATTTTATGAAATTATGATAGATTAGTATTACAATTATGAACTGTTTAACGAATGTTTTTATGATATAAAAAAAATAACATTTTCATATAACATGTAGCAAGATAACATCAGCCAAAGAATATTTATTTTACGTTTATAGTAAGTAAACTAAGAATAATATTATTTTCTTAATNCTCTCTTATTTTTTCCTGTCATTGCTGCCACAACACTTCAGAAAATAATATTCAATTTAAACTAGACGAATTACATCAAAAAATATTTATTTATAATTTCTTCCAAACATCTCGCGGGCCGGGGGTTGCCCACCGTTGGTCTAGGAGAATATAGATTTAACCTGAACAGTGAGAATGTGTGTGTATGTTGAGAAGAGATAGACTCTCAATCACCTTGTAAACGAATGCATACAATGGCAGTTGGAAAGGCATTACCTGGAATTGATTGCAAAAGAGGAAGGAATGGCCCTGTTGGGTTTATCATTTAATCAGAAAGGAAAAAACATATAATCAAACTCATTGACTTTCTAAGAAAGATATTAAAGAGCAAAGTAGCTCATGCTCATATTCATTTGTAAAACAACTTCCTGAGTGAGTGGCTCAGTAGTTTGTAATTTCTATCTTTTATATTAACATTGTAATTTGAATTATGAAGTATGGACTTTAGCCCCATTATGTATTAGAAGTGCGAGGAAGACTGATCCCCAAAAGGAAAAATGACGATTCCCAATTAAAAAAAAAAAGGAGGTAAGATACAGTGATGGGATCATCATCAAGATGGTGACTAACAAAGGGACTTAAGGAATAGACTGAAGTAATCCATGTTCATTTAATAAGGTTGAGTGAGTTCAACTGAAATAGTGCACAGTAGGTGTATAGGCTATAGAATAGCCATGAGAGTATTGTTTTTTAAAGAAATAAAAAAATTTTATTTATCAACCATGCCTTGAACACGTCCATGATCAACAGGTCGCCCTTAACATGAGTTGGATCATTCGCATTTGTAAAGTTGGGAGAGCGAAGACAAAGCCATTTGATTGTTTCCACTGTGTATATAATTGTAATCTATGTGAACTCAAATTTATCATGTTATGCGTTTTGCATCTTTGTTGTTAATTGTACTTTCCTGTACCCACACCATATGTATACAGAACTTTCATGATTCTTTTTTTTAGTCGTGAGATTAAACTGTTTTGTCATTCTTACTGTTATGTCCTTATTTTATTACCCATCAACACACACTGTATATCTCAATATATCAGGGTCACTACAATGGCTTTGTGGATGCATAAAAATACAAAAATTGTTTTGTTAGCCTTGCCTACTATTTTCAAACGAAATTAGTGTGTGGAATAAGAATGGCTTTGATGATTTAAATAATTTGAATAAAGCTCACAAAAGACATGAAAATCATAAATGTCACATTCTTTTGTAAAATTGAAGCAATTTGGAAATCAAAGCAGAAGAATTTAGCATTAGTAAACAATATAAAATAAATATTTAAAATTATAACATGATAGTTACGGTTAATAGATATAAAATATCTAAATGAATATATGTTTTTTATCAAAGCAAAAATTGGCATTTAGAGGGCATAGGGAATCTATTGAATCTAATAACAGAGGTGATTATATTGAGCTTGTTTATTTATTAAGTACATCAGATAATCTATTAAAAATACATTTAGAGAAGTCTACAGTTTTTACTGGCTTGTTGAACAAATGAATACAAATGGACCCTAGACCATCACTGACACACTATTAACTGATTTCCCCTGGAAGTCGGCTTCTTACAGAAACACAGCTTCCCTATTATAAAATGTCACAGCACACCACTGGGATTTAGTACAGATCTGCAAAAACTCTTTCTCTTGGTCAATTTAGATATAAGTATTTAGTATATAGCCGATATATTTTAGTCCTTAAACATAGTATCAGACAAAATGATTCTTCTGCCTGTATATAAACCTAGTATATTAGTTTAATGTACTCACTGTGCTTTTGCTTATTAAATATGTTATTTTGTTAACCTGTCCAACTGTCTTTATTCGGAGAACAGTCACCCTATTGACGGACTCATTGCACTTCCCCACTCAATGTTAGAAAAAGTCCTCCTACATAATTCTAACACAGTATAGCGACCCAGTGACAATTGAGCAGTCTTTACCGGACTGATGTCAGAAATGGGTTTAGAGCCATAGCTTGAACACTATTTTGTACTTGGCTGAAAAATTTAGGTTAATTGTGAATAACTACATACGGTAGAACAAAATGTTTAGTCCTGAAAGAAAATTACACATTCCCCTCCTTGACAAATAAGGAAATTATCTGATTATTAAAAAAATAATAATAAAGCTGAGATTTAATGATGTTGGCAAATAATATCAAATTGAGAATTTACTGATGTTCTATTGTAAATAGTACTAGAAGATGAAATATAGTATATAGTAGAAATATAGTAGATGAAATATCAGCAAGATTTTTAGGGTATTGTAAATATTCTAAAAATCTTGCTGATATTTAATCAAATTCAGTATTAAAAGTATAATATATATATATAGTGTGTTTTGTACTAAGTGATTAATACCGGCATTATTCATAATGCCTGGCCATTTTAAATAATGACAAACAAAATTAGACACTGTCATAAATTTCAGGTTTTTATATCATAATTTATCAGATACACACTATGAATACTGCTATCACCTGGGCAGGCAAAGTTATTCATAATGTCTGGTCAATTTAATAAATTAAACAATATTTATCAAGCTGAAAGCTGCATGGCAATTTTAGTCATTATAAATATTGCCCTATTAATCAATTGGTCCATAACATATATATTACAAGTAGAATACACAAATAATTTAATTTTAAGAGAAAAGAATAATATACAACTTTTTCCATTTCTGACTCTGCCTATGAACACTAAGAAAACCTTTTTAATCATGCCCATCATAGGTTTAGTCAGAAAAACAATTTTTAATAGTCAGATGGTGAGAGGGGTGGTCTCTCCTGGGTATGTTAGGCTGGAGCTTGATGTACCCAGGAGAGACCACTCCTGAAACCTTCCTGGAGTTGCTCACCCAAACTTCATCTAAATTTCCAAGTGTTATGGCAATGCCTTAATTACCTCAGTCATCTGGCATATTATTTAATTAAAAAGATACAATATTATATTTTATATCATTAATGATCTTTTAAATAAATTTTACCACTCTCACTGCAGACAGAGCTAATCAAATGTTCTTCTTGTAATCTTAATTCAGACCAAACTTCATTCTCACTACTAGAAGAACTAGCATTATCCTCAGGATTAGCATGAGTATTAGCATGGAACTGTGGTTTAGGAAATACTTCTGAATGAACCTATAGATTTGATTAAATATTTAACAATTAAAACATTTTCCAACAATTATATAATTTTATAATATATTTGTAAAATTTCATTAAACAGATTACATACAATCTGGGAGATAAAAATATAAAACAAAAGTTTGTTTTATGTTATAAAAAATATATACAGCTATGGCAACTTTAAAAAATATATTACTTCTTAGATCATTATATTAAAATATTAATTTGTGAGGGGAATCAGACTTCTTTTCATTCATTATTATTTCTTTTTATTTAGTTATGTTTGAGGATTTTTGTTTAGTTAATGACAACCACTTCAGACTTCAAACCAGAAAAACAAAGTTACATTGAAAACAAACATTTTATTCACTGCTACAATATTTACTAAATAATTACTAGGACTACAATTGCTGCCAGCAGGAAATGAATGCAAACAGGACTGACAGAAAATGCACATGTCAGGATACTGCTGAGTATAAAAAAAAAAGTATTCATGAAGTGGTTGAATTGAGAAGAGGTTTTCTTTAGGTTGCTCTGCTAGGAGAAAACAAAAAACACCAAGCAATAGTTTATTATTATTATTATTATTATTGCTAATTGACAATTTTTGCAGTTCTGACTTACTGATAATTAATATATCCTTTTTGAATTCATTACTAGCATTGATCTTTTGTAATTAACAATAATACCAGTAAATATGTACAATAATCAGTAAATTAATTGTGTATTAAATGATCCATTGGCATTTCTTAATAAATTGTTCATAATATTTATTTATAACTATCATTTCCTCCCTTTTTTTTGTTGTTGCCTGAAAGGCCAGATTTAAACCTCTCAAGAACACTGGTGTAAATTATAAATTATGAATAAAGTTATATTAATAAATGCAATAAAGCTTGTGAGTAAAGATGTTGTATAAATGCAATCAGTCAACGGTTAATTATAATATTTAGAAAAGATAATAAATAAATTAATTAATGTTCAAATGATAAAAACTAGATTTTTGTATTGAAAAATAAAAAAATATGAGCAGCTTTATCACATCTACTAATTTCTGACAGTAGAAATTAAGCCATTGTTTTATATTGTGTGAGGTTCTGGATGAGGTCCGAATCCCTCACTAAATTTTGTTTAAAAGTTTTCCAATCAAGAAAGGAATTTTGTAATATAAGCACAATGCGAATAAAAAAAATAATAGATGTGTCAGATGACCTAAGTTCATGTGTCAAACCAGGAAGACAAACTTTGGCTTGGGTGTTCATAAATAGGATAAAATTACGGCAAACTCACTCTGAGTTGCCGTAAAATAGTGCTATAAAATATTTCAATCAATAAATAATTATCGCAAAACTTCTTATAAGAAATTTTTGACAAGAGAGAAAACAAAACTTATAGAAATATGAGCAAAAGTTCCTTCCAAGGTTCGTTTAAACATTCCATCATCTGAGATCTAGATGTGGTGTCAGGATGTGTTGAGATTTGACCTTTCTCACACCTCTATCAGGTCTTGTTCTACCTGAAGACAAAGAAAGGACCAAATTGGGGAGGAAAGAGCAGAATTAGGAACCAATTAAATTGTTCAGTCCACGATTAAAATTTATATAAACTTGCATCTCAAGGTCCTAATGTGCTTCTCTGACCAATCTCAAACATGCTTCTCCAACCATTCATTTCAAAAACTGCTCTTTTTCCTGAACCATGTATCGTTGAGGCTTCAAGAACTAAGTGACCCTTTTCATCTACTTCATCAATGACTCCACCCTGGGCTCAGCACCACATGAACTCAAAGGAGTTAAACTATTGCTCCAGATCACAAAGAACATTTTTGTGGACCAAATACTGAAGAATTAACTATAAACAACAATTTTTTGTGACAATAAATGGGAAAATCTGTAAAGGTGTTTTGAGTCTAAATCCACTGGCATCCACAAATATGGTTCTTATCTGCAAATCCTTCCAGGGTTCGGTTACCTAACCAATTAGATATCAGGCAGCAACAACAAAGCCATACATACTTACAATTGTATAGTAACATTCATAAAACTTGTACTATAATATATATATATATATATATATTAGAATACAAGTTAAATTTGCATCATTTAATAAAATAAGGCAATTACTATTCATTAATAAAAAGTTGCATAATGAACATCAGCATTTTATTTATGGATGATACTTTTTTTTTTCTTCGAAAAAAATGAAGATAATCAAAACTTATATATTTTTCTAATAAAATTCAAATTAGAATTTTATTATAAACTCTAATCTTAAAATTAAAATTTAATTACACTATTTTAACTAGAAAAATAACATGAAAATTAACCTGTAAATTTTCTAGAAAATTTTCTGCAACTTCAACAGCTGTTCCAGTGGTACTTTTCATCTGTGGATTCCAACTTGGAATTGTTTTAACTTGTTCAATTTTTTGAGAATCAACAGATGTCATTTTCTTCAGAGGACGTAAATTATACTGTAGTGTGTGAGTTATATCATAACTGTAACTATTAAAAATTCCCATCTTATTAACAGCAAGTAAAAGAACTATTTTATTATCTGTATTTTAAAATATTCTTTTTCCATAAAAAATGTATTCTATTCTCTTTATAAATTCTATTTTTCTAAAGTATTTTGTTAAAATAAGCTAAGAAGATCTAACAACAGAATAAAATAAGCTTGATTCTTAACTACTTTTAATCATTTTAACTCATAATTTCAATTTTTAATAAACAGAACAACTTTCCTCATATAATATTAACAATAATTTATATTAATTGACAGTATACAAATATTTAAAACATTTTAATTCCAAATAAGAAAATAAAATCTTCATAATGATGTAAATATCTCAAAAATTCTTTAGATGTATTCAAACAACTAAATAATTATATTAGTTTTTATTATTATAAGTCACTGTCACTATGTTATTTGGCAGAGTTAAATTAACTAAATAAAGAAAATTTTAAGTAGACATTAGTAAAAAATTAATAGAAAAGCATAGATTTTTTTGTTTTCTAAGATATTTTATATATATATATAAATTTATTAGTACCATAACATATCATTACTTAAAAGTTCAGGTTTAAAATACAAAAAGCCAGCAATTTCTAACAGAAAAAAAAATATGTCACCATGATTATTCTGAATTATTATTAATAAAGCCATTGTTTCTTTAAACAATCATTTGTGAAATATTAATTTAGTAATTTTAAATTTAAGTAGTAGTAATGCTTTTCTGATGGAATGATTATTTACTCCAATAATCTCAGTAAATATTCCAATTAATTGTCAAGTGATGATTATTAGTACAACTAACAATCAGCAAACAATTACTCAATACATCTCTAGTTGATACATTATAAAAACAATATATTTTCAAAATTTTTTTAGATTAAAAAAGTATTTAATGAAACAAAATCAGTTATTCAGTATCTTTTTTTAGTTTTTAAAAACTATATTTTTGGTTCTTCTATTTAAAAAGATACTTTGGTATGTTATTCATTTCCTAAANCGAAAAAGAAAAATTAAACTGTTATTACGAACAGAAGGGTGGACAAAGGTCTGTTTAGGCAACAAGAGTTTGAATGTCGAGTTATGAAGGCGATTTGCTAGCCAATTCAAGGAATAAGAAATGTATTCAGTATTCTTGCATTTATATCATCATTTATGATCTTATCCACTAATAAAAATTGATATAATGATTTGTCTACTTTGTAGTTAGTTAACAAGTAGAGTGTAATTTTTCAAACCTTTTACTTTTCTCAATAAATGATTTATTAAAAATTATTTTAGCCATTATAAAGCTGTTAAGATCATAAATGTGAGAAAACTGAATATCTTCCTACACTTTATAGTGGATGGCAAATCACCTTTATAACATAATCTTTGAAGTTTCACCAAATAAATACTGTTGTCTTAACCTTAAACTTTTTTTTTTTCATTACTGCTGTGCTACAGTTCTTGACGAATGAATGAATACCTTTGAAAAAGTTTATGGTTTCTTGGTAAGTCCAACAATAAGACAGAAGTTTAATAACATTAACTTGTATGATAAATGGTGATTCACAACTTAACCAGATTATTCTTCTCTAATAGATAAAACATACTGCTCAGCTTTTCACAACCTGCCCTCCTCCCCTATTCGTATTTTAAGCCAGTCTATTCAATGCCTATGGTCAAAATTTGTCCTATGAAAGACTATTTGAACTGATTCTTTGTTTTAGTTTTAAAATATTTCATACATAATTAATTCTTTCAGAATATTAAAGGTTGTGACTTTGTGTTTTCAGAATGTAGTTTAAAGATGATGGTATCCATTATTTAGAAGTAAATGTTATAGATGTCCTATATTTGAAGAGTCTGGAGATTGTAAAAAAAAAAATGTCTGTTAAGTAGAGGTATCCACTATTCAGGAGTGTCCATTAATGGAGGTTTCACTATATATATATATACACACATACACTTACACTAATGCTATATATTAGAAGTCATTTTATGAGTACTTACCTAAAATAAAAATTACTTGATAAATCCACATTCTGGAACATTTTAACATATCTAATAAAAATTAGAACTTTTTTAAAATTGATTTTAATTAAAAATTAAACTGTTAAATGGATTCTAAGTAATAAACTATTAAATGATATTTCATATTTAAAAACTATCATTACTAATTTTCATACTTTTATGAAAACAGGTATATATTCCATCATAATTATTTTATTTCTAACATATATTTAATACATTATATAAAAAGAGCTTAGCACATATAATCTAGCAAGAGCCAAAAAATTTAAATTACATCAAATCTATAAATTTTAGAATCAATCATTTCAATTTCTATAATTTAAAAAATTTGTTTTTTCAATAATTTTTTTGAATATATAAATACAGCTGTCCCTTGTTTTGTAATCCGACATGCTCAGTAGTCCGACGCACCTCCCATCAAGGTACCCGTCCCCATTATGTGTCTGCTTGTACAGAAGCAGACACGTAACAAACAGTTGGAGTATGGAATATTGTAGGCTACTGCTAGCAAAACAATGCCAAATATGTAATCACTTTCGATAATCTGGACACTTTTGGTAATCCGACACCCCTTTGGTCCCATACCTGTCGGATTATCAAGGGACAGCTGTACTTAAATTTATAAATGTAAAAATTTGATAGAAAATTACCTGGCTTCATCAGGATTAGAATATTTTTCTCCCTCACTAGGAATATAGACCATACTAGTATCTTCAATCTTGTAAATAGTATGATGTCCAATTACAGCAACTCTACGACGTTTAGTTACAAGAATAATATAATATCCTTCCAAAAACTTAATAAATCCTGAAATGTATTTTTAAATACATTTTTATTTCTGTGTTTGAAGACTTTTAAGATTTATTTTTCTTTTAATAATTAATATTTTAATTAAAAATATAAAGTGAAAATAATATTGATGTTGAATTATTTTGTTAATGTAACTTAAAAATCTGACATATACTGTAATTTTCCAGGCATAGTTTAATAGATATGTTAAGATTTTTGTTGATAACTTTTGTAGGCTTTATTATTTCAAGAAATACAATAAATTTGAATTATAGAATACAAATTGTACATAATAAAATTTTAAGTTGAATAATTTCATATAATTTTTTAAGTTAACACTTTCACACACATGGATGGCTACAGACATCTTTGGAATTTGTGCCATGTGTAAAAGATTAAAAATGACTGTAAACATGAATACTTTAGAATTATAAAGTGTTAAATATAATAACATATTTGTAATGTTAATATATTAATTTAATAATTTTTTTTACTTGTTTCTCTTGAAAATACAAAGTTGGTATCTTAATATTTATATAAGAAATCATTAGATAATTTGAAAAATATTCTCCAAATATACATCTTTTTTAAAATTTTTGCACAAGTTCTTAATCAGATCTGAAAAAAGTTTATTACAATTATATTGAAGTTATATTTATTTTTATTATTCTAGCAGTTATTTTTAGGATTCTTTCAACTTAATCAATATCCATAAAACTTAAACTTGACACCATATTTAAATAGGTAAGAAAAACTATTTATTCTAACACAATTGTTATCTATCTATATTTACATTCTAAAATACAGCTGTTGATATTCTTATAAAACAAAGAAAATGTTACTGAATAAAAACTTAATTTGGTTTCAAGAATTAAGCATTTTTCTTGTCTTACATTTTGTTTAAAAAAAATCTAATTTCATTAGTAAATCATCATTAGCATAAATCTCATAAAACTGAATCGTTATTTTCTTAAGTATTTCTTATTTTTGTGTATTCGTGTCATTATAATATTTAAAGTACATAGTTATATACAAACAGTAAATTAAAAATGTTTTAACAATTTAACTACCAGCATTTATATTAAATACTTCAACACTTTCTTTAATTTAAATGAAATCATCTCACCTACAATACCAAATGCAGACACTGTACGATTTAAACCTGATGATTTTTGTCCAGGTCTTGGTCTATTACCAACATCTATCATTGTAAGCAAGTCTCTGATTTCTTTATGAGTATATTCCATCTGAAAGTAAATTTAGGGTTTTCTACATTTAATACACAAAAATTCCTTTTATGTTAATTTTGTATATTAGTACACAAACAACATACCTTATCATCAATTACAATTAATTCTTTCAGCTCAGTTCTGTCAATTTTTAAAACTCTAAATTTTGTTTGAGTATTATTAGATCCAACCAAAAAGAACCTCTGAAAAAAATTGCATTAATATTTTTTAAAAAATATATAAAGTAATAAAAGTAAGTTATTATATATATCTGAGTATATTAATCAAAGTTAAAAATTTTAAATATTTTGTCATATTTTAATCATAAGACAAAATAAAAGCGATAAGTCTTTCACATGACATGATAGTTGTGAATACATCAGATATTTCAATGTTTGCTATTGCAACAAGTGAATGTAATGCATAGTGTATCATCCATCATCCACTAATGTAACAAAATCTCTGTATGATATCAGGTTAAGATTTACAATACTGATTTTAATATGCACACGAGATTCAGCTGTTTGAGGATCATCATCATTTGTACCAGATGAAAAATGTAAGAAAAATTTAACTTTGTTGAAATTTCATTAAAATATATTTACCAGAATATAAAATGCTTATGTTTAATGATTATGATAAATTAAATAACTTTCATTGCCTTTTTATTAAGATTTACATTCAATTTCGCATACACAATTGTATATGAATAAAACTATTCAAGTACACAATTGAAATTAAATAATAAGCTATGTAAAAACAAAGAAAACCATTTGAATCATTCATTCATTCATTCTTTAAAAAACATTGAAATATGTGAAGGATTTACATCTACATTTTATTCCCAGATTCCCTCAATAGTCATTTAAATTTAATAATATGATTAAAATTTTTAGTTATTAAAAAATAATACTTCAATCAACATTAGTTAATAAAATTAATAAACATCTCTAATATAAAAGAACCTAAACCGATGATTTTTAAATTAAAAGAAAACATTTTAAAATAGAAATTAAGCTTTCTAACTTTTAACACTAATTACATTTTATGAAATTATGATAGATTAGTATTACAATTATGAACTGTTTAACGAATGTTTTTATGATATAAAAAAAATAACATTTTCATATAACATGTAGCAAGATAACATCAGCCAAAGAATATTTATTTTACGTTTATAGTAAGTAAACTAAGAATAATATTATTTTCTTAATATTATTCTATTTAATATTTTTTTTTTGTTTTGGAATTTTTGCACAAGATATTTTGTTCGTGTTTTATTTTTTGATGATTGATATTATTAAAAACATAATAAGTGAAATATTTTACACTATTAAATTTTCTGAAGAGGTTTTGTACTTATTTCTTAGGTTTATCATCAGAAATGCTTCTGACAGTTTGGTCATGAGGTTTTTTTTTGCATACTTCCAAAAAAGATGTTAAGAAATGTGAATGAAATAAAAAAAAGTGTATAGAACTTCTTTTTATTCAAATTTTAAAAATGAGAATAGAACATCTTAGTAATATTATCTTTTCATCTTTTAATTTGGTTTTTATTAACATTATTTGTACATCTTTGCTAAAATATTCTATATTTCAAAAACTTAAAAAAATGAGAAGTTCCATGATTTTTTTTGTTTTATTCTGGAATTTTTGCACTCTTTAATGATTTTTGAAAGTTGCAGAAAGAACCTATCAACTGAACTATAGTCAAAAACATTCCAATAAATCTATTCATGTTTGGTCTCCTCAACTAGCACTTTTGAGAAAAAGGCAGGTGATAATATTCTCTAATCCTAATCCTATGCTGTAATATCTAGGGTGGTATTCTGATCGCTATCACAAGAGTGTGCCATCTTCACAAGATTATTGGCTAAAAATAAATTTTTAACCAATACTCTTGTGACTTAGGTATTTATTTCTGAAAGACAAGGGATGATAACCAGAATACAGCTTCTGAGAGTTTAATATAAAATTTATTTTATAATTATATCCTTTGATTAATAAAATTATAATTTTGGTTAAGAAAGGAAAACTCCCCAAGTACAGCATTAATAGTTTTTATTTTGCTAGCACTTTCAATGAACTTATGTTCATCATCACCAGACAAATGAAAAGCATTGAAATTGCTAGCAAAATAAAGACTATTAACACTGTACTTGGTCAGTTTTCCTCCTTTTATCTGATATTTGGCATGTGGATCAAGCCGTATTGTATAATTTTATTAACCACACTTTTTAAAACTTTATAATTCTAATAGTATTTTATAATAATTTAATGAATATTTACTTACAGCTTTAGTCTCGTATAATGCTATTTTTTGGACACTGCTGATAACTGGAAAAACAAATGTTGTCTTTGATGTCATTGTTCAAATACCAGTAGTGAACTATCCTAAATCTGTAAATTAGAAGCTTATAAATTTTAAGTTTAACTAAAAATAGTCTAAAAATTAAAATAAATTTGAATTTCAAATGTTGTAAACACTGAAAAAGAAAAAAATATACCAATATAGAAACAGTATTTTTTAAAATATTGTAATAATTAAATATAAAATTGTCAATAAATGATGCTAAAAGATATTTTATTTCATTGGAATGTTAACAATATACATCACATATTGTACTTCATATATATATATATAATTATATATTTTTATATATTTATTCAAACATTCTAATATTAACAATTCTAACAACTGCAATAAATTATTNTTCGTAATATCGTCGACCTGTTTTCAAACCTTTTTTTGTATATAATCCAGTAATTGTTTGGCTTATGTTTAAAATTATTAATGTAAATAGTTGAAAAGAGAAAAACTGTCCCAAAATAAAATCTAAAATATTTCAGAAACATCAATTCTCTCTGAAAATTTATTAAAATTAATACTGTTCCAGTATTCATAAAATATGAAAACACAGATGATGGACATAAAAAGCTAAAGATAAGAAATAATATTTTTTTTGAGATGATAAAAGAGAATGTTAAATTAAGAACTAAATATAATATAGCAACTGATTAAATAATAATCCATTTCTTAATATGCAGCACATATTTCTATATTAAGAGGGGTAATATCTTCTCATCAGTTTGTATTTTGAACAGATAAAACATTCAGTTCTGGATTACATCTGCATTTTTTAAAAATCAGTTGTTTCTCATAATTAACCACTCAACAGTGAAGGACGAATATACCATCCAGGGCAATCTTGTGGCAGTGGGTGAGGGATGAATATATCCGTTAATTTCTTTTGGATGTATAGCCAAAAACTACTGCGAAAAACATATTCACATAAAAAATGAATTATGTAACAATAAAGAAAAGACTTTTCTTTATTAGACAAAATCTTACAAAACTTACAAAATCTTTTTCCGAAACAGTAGTGAGAAAAAACGCATGGAATAATACTGTACTTTAAAAATTCCCCACGTTTCTTCTCCACTACTTTGGGAAGCACCATACCTGACTATCCCACTGATAAAAGGTTAAAAACAATGACTAACAGAAAAATTCATTTTCTGTTATATTCGTGTTTCTGACAACAATAAGGAATATATTTTAAACATTTAGCTTTTTTCATGCTAAATTATTTTAACCTTTTGTCCTTTCTGTTCTACAGGCACTTAAAGGGTTTTTCCATACCAACGTAGATTTAGCCAGGCCCTTAATGGGGGCAACCAGGTGCTAAGGAACGGGACCCAACATATCCAGGATAGATTGCCCACAAAAAATTCCTAGGATTGCTTATCTGGATTTTATCCCAGGAATTTTTGAAAATGCCAAAACATTGTTCAACTGTGATTAGCACAAGAAAATTGAAACAAGAAAATTGAAAAATAAATCTGTTTTTTCCACAAAAGCTTATTTGCATAAATACTAGACATTTCATTACAGTAAAAACTTTAATTAATCACCACTGTTTAAACTATCAAAGTGCTAAATTCAGTTTTGGAAAGTCACTGTATTTCTTCTTCTTCTATTGTCAAACTGAAGTACATACTGTACTGAATTTTACTGTAAGCAAACCTCTATTTCCATACTGTATGCTAGTTAAGATACTGCATCAGATTTAATTACTGTTCTGTACAGTATATAAACAGTTAGTTGATTATACAGTACTGCAGTGGCGTGCTGTCATTGGAAGCAGTGAAAGTGCCGCTACCCTTGTATTTTCTAAAAAATAAATACATATTGTGCTATTATTTTCATATTTTAATGTATTTTGGATTAATTAAAATTAATATTTTATTATAACTGTGTTATATATCTTATTACAAATTTCTATACTACACGTGAAAAAAACGATAAGATTGCTTCTTTTAATATTTTTTTTTTGTTTTGGAATTTTTGCACAAGATATTTTGTTCGTGTTTTATTTTTTGATGATTGATATTATTAAAAACATAATAAGTGAAATATTTTACACTATTAAATTTTCTGAAGAGGTTTTGTACTTATTTCTTAGGTTTATCATNAGTTATGAAGGCGATTTGCTAGCCAATTCAAGGAATAAGAAATGTATTCAGTATTCTTGCATTTATATCATCATTTATGATCTTATCCACTAATAAAAATTGATATAATGATTTGTCTACTTTGTAGTTAGTTAACAAGTAGAGTGTAATTTTTCAAACCTTTTACTTTTCTCAATAAATGATTTATTAAAAATTATTTTAGCCATTATAAAGCTGTTAAGATCATAAATGTGAGAAAACTGAATATCTTCCTACACTTTATAGTGGATGGCAAATCACCTTTATAACATAATCTTTGAAGTTTCACCAAATAAATACTGTTGTCTTAACCTTAAACTTTTTTTTTTTCATTACTGCTGTGCTACAGTTCTTGACGAATGAATGAATACCTTTGAAAAAGTTTATGGTTTCTTGGTAAGTCCAACAATAAGACAGAAGTTTAATAACATTAACTTGTATGATAAATGGTGATTCACAACTTAACCAGATTATTCTTCTCTAATAGATAAAACATATTGCTCAGCTTTTCACAACCTGCCCTCCTCCCCTATTCGTATTTTAAGCCAGTCTATTCAATGCCTATGGTCAAAATTTGTCCTATGAAAGACTATTTGAACTGATTCTTTGTTTTAGTTTTAAAATATTTCATACATAATTAATTCTTTCAGCTCAGTTCATGCCTATGGTCAAAATTTGTCCTATAAAAGACTATTTGAACTGATTCTTTGTTTTAGTTTTAAAATATTTCATACATAATTAATTCTTTCAGAATATTAAAGGTTGTGACTTTGTGTTTTCAGAATGTAGTTTAAAGATGATGGTATCCATTATTTAGAAGTAAATGTTATAGATGTCCTATATTTGAAGAGTCTGGAGATTGTAAAAAAAAAAATGTCTGTTAAGTAGAGGTATCCACTATTCAGGAGTGTCCATTAATGGAGGTTTCACTATATATATATATACACACATACACTTACACTAATGCTATATATTAGAAGTCATTTTATGAGTACTTACCTAAAATAAAAATTACTTGATAAATCCACATTCTGGAACATTTTAACATATCTAATAAAAATTAGAACTTTTTTAAAATTGATTTTAATTAAAAATTAAACTGTTAAATGGATTCTAAGTAATAAACTATTAAATGATATTTCATATTTAAAAACTATCATTACTAATTTTCATACTTTTATGAAAACAGGTATATATTCCATCATAATTATTTTATTTCTAACATATATTTAATACATTATATAAAAAGAGCTTAGCACATATAATCTAGCAAGAGCCAAAAAATTTAAATTACATCAAATCTATAAATTTTAGAATCAATCATTTCAATTTCTATAATTTAAAAAATTTGTTTTTTCAATAATTTTTTTGAATATATAAATACAGCTGTCCCTTGTTTTGTAATCCGACATGCTCAGTAGTCCGACGCACCTCCCATCAAGGTACCCGTCCCCGTTATGTGTCTGCTTGTACAGAAGCAGACACGTAACAAACAGTTGGAGTATGGAATATTGTAGGCTACTGCTAGCAAAACAATGCCAAATATGTAATCACTTTCGATAATCTGGACACTTTTGGTAATCCGACACCCCTTTGGTCCCATACCTGTCGGATTATCAAGGGACAGCTGTACTTAAATTTATAAATGTAAAAATTTGATAGAAAATTACCTGGCTTCATCAGGATTAGAATATTTTTCTCCCTCACTAGGAATATAGACCATACTAGTATCTTCAATCTTGTAAATAGTATGATGTCCAATTACAGCAACTCTACGACGTTTAGTTACAAGAATAATATAATATCCTTCCAAAAACTTAATAAATCCTGAAATGTATTTTTAAATACATTTTTATTTCTGTGTTTGAAGACTTTTAAGATTTATTTTTCTTTTAATAATTAATATTTTAATTAAAAATATAAAGTGAAAATAATATTGATGTTGAATTATTTTGTTAATGTAACTTAAAAATCTGACATATACTGTAATTTTCCAGGCATAGTTTAATAGATATGTTAAGATTTTTGTTGATAACTTTTGTAGGCTTTATTATTTCAAGAAATACAATAAATTTGAATTATAGAATACAAATTGTACATAATAAAATTTTAAGTTGAATAATTTCATATAATTTTTTAAGTTAACACTTTCACACACATGGATGGCTACAGACATCTTTGGAATTTGTGCCATGTGTAAAAGATTAAAAATGACTGTAAACATGAATACTTTAGAATTATAAAGTGTTAAATATAATAACATATTTGTAATGTTAATATATTAATTTAATAATTTTTTTTACTTGTTTCTCTTGAAAATACAAAGTTGGTATCTTAATATTTATATAAGAAATCATTAGATAATTTGAAAAATATTCTCCAAATATACATCTTTTTTAAAATTTTTGCACAAGTTCTTAATCAGATCTGAAAAAAGTTTATTACAATTATATTGAAGTTATATTTATTTTTATTATTCTAGCAGTTATTTTTAGGATTCTTTCAACTTAATCAATATCCATAAAACTTAAACTTGACACCATATTTAAATAGGTAAGAAAAACTATTTATTCTAACACAATTGTTATCTATCTATATTTACATTCTAAAATACAGCTGTTGATATTCTTATAAAACAAAGAAAATGTTACTGAATAAAAACTTAATTTGGTTTCAAGAATTAAGCATTTTTCTTGTCTTACATTTTGTTTAAAAAAAATCTAATTTCATTAGTAAATCATCATTAGCATAAATCTCATAAAACTGAATCGTTATTTTCTTAAGTATTTCTTATTTTTGTGTATTCGTGTCATTATAATATTTAAAGTACATAGTTATATACAAACAGTAAATTAAAAATGTTTTAACAATTTAACTACCAGCATTTATATTAAATACTTCAACACTTTCTTTAATTTAAATGAAATCATCTCACCTACAATACCAAATGCAGACACTGTACGATTTAAACCTGATGATTTTTGTCCAGGTCTTGGTCTATTACCAACATCTATCATTGTAAGCAAGTCTCTGATTTCTTTATGAGTATATTCCATCTGAAAGTAAATTTAGGGTTTTCTACATTTAATACACAAAAATTCCTTTTATGTTAATTTTGTATATTAGTACACAAACAACATACCTTATCATCAATTACAATTAATTCTTTCAGCTCAGTTCTGTCAATTTTTAAAACTCTAAATTTTGTTTGAGTATTATTAGATCCAACCAAAAAGAACCTCTGAAAAAAATTGCATTAATATTTTTTAAAAAATATATAAAGTAATAAAAGTAAGTTATTATATATATCTGAGTATATTAATCAAAGTTAAAAATTTTAAATATTTTGTCATATTTTAATCATAAGACAAAATAAAAGCGATAAGTCTTTCACATGACATGATAGTTGTGAATACATCAGATATTTCAATGTTTGCTATTGCAACAAGTGAATGTAATGCATAGTGTATCATCCATCATCCACTAATGTAACAAAATCTCTGTATGATATCAGGTTAAGATTTACAATACTGATTTTAATATGCACACGAGATTCAGCTGTTTGAGGATCATCATCATTTGTACCAGATGAAAAATGTAAGAAAAATTTAACTTTGTTGAAATTTCATTAAAATATATTTACCAGAATATAAAATGCTTATGTTTAATGATTATGATAAATTAAATAACTTTCATTGCCTTTTTATTAAGATTTACATTCAATTTCGCATACACAATTGTATATGAATAAAACTATTCAAGTACACAATTGAAATTAAATAATAAGCTATGTAAAAACAAAGAAAACCATTTGAATCATTCATTCATTCATTCTTTAAAAAACATTGAAATATGTGAAGGATTTACATCTACATTTTATTCCCAGATTCCCTCAATAGTCATTTAAATTTAATAATATGATTAAAATTTTTAGTTATTAAAAAATAATACTTCAATCAACATTAGTTAATAAAATTAATAAACATCTCTAATATAAAAGAACCTAAACCGATGATTTTTAAATTAAAAGAAAACATTTTAAAATAGAAATTAAGCTTTCTAACTTTTAACACTAATTACATTTTATGAAATTATGATAGATTAGTATTACAATTATGAACTGTTTAACGAATGTTTTTATGATATAAAAAAAATAACATTTTCATATAACATGTAGCAAGATAACATCAGCCAAAGAATATTTATTTTACGTTTATAGTAAGTAAACTAAGAATAATATTATTTTCTTAATATTATTCTATTTAATATTTTTTTTTTGTTTTGGAATTTTTGCACAAGATATTTTGTTCGTGTTTTATTTTTTGATGATTGATATTATTAAAAACATAATAAGTGAAATATTTTACACTATTAAATTTTCTGAAGAGGTTTTGTACTTATTTCTTAGGTTTATCATCAGAAATGCTTCTGACAGTTTGGTCATGAGGTTTTTTTTTGCATACTTCCAAAAAAGATGTTAAGAAATGTGAATGAAATAAAAAAAAGTGTATAGAACTTCTTTTTATTCAAATTTTAAAAATGAGAATAGAACATCTTAGTAATATTATCTTTTCATCTTTTAATNGATATTACGATTTCGTATGTCCCATCCATCTGTAAGGGAATGTAGAAAAAAACGTGTACAATTCTTGTACAATGTTAAAAAATTAACTGTTACTTTAGCATTTACAATTAAATTTAAGAAATGAGAGAGATGCACAAGGGACAGAAAAAGCTCTAGAATTTATTTTCCTTAAATTTACGATTTATATATCCGTTTGATAAAAATTTGTCTTTCCACTTTTTTCCCAAGACTACAAATATTCAAGTACAAAATAACTGGTTTCGAGTTATTTCTACTTAAGAAGTAGTTAAATAATTAAGAGATTAGGAAATTAGGGACATAAAACCCTGCTGAAGGAGCCGGGATTTTACTTAAAAGCTTAACTGAACCAATCTCTAGCAGAGTACAATGGGGATTGATTTCTTTGTAATATTGGATAATAAAGACAGAAATTTTTCCAGTTCAATGAGAGTGACTGAAAAATAAATTTTGGAAATTTCCATGGACACCTGGTCCTAAAACAAATGAGTTAGAAAACAAATGACAGACAATCAATTAAGTTTAATATATTTAGATTTTTACAACTATGGCGAGAAACTTTTAAAATTTACAACAACTTTGTTGCGTCCTTTGTAATATATTAGTGATGCGACAAGAGGTATTTGACATTGACCAGTATCAGCACCCTTGGGATTTGGCAGTCCGCATGCCGTGCAACCTACTCTGATTCCATCCATTAGCCACTCGTAGGGAGCTATTTGACTAAGTGAATTGTTTTAAGATTAAAAAGATGATAATATTTTATGTTATTTTTATGTATGTTTCTTTACAAAGCTATATTTATTTATGATTTTCTTTAAAAGTATACTCAATTGAAAAATATTTTGTACCAGGTATGAACTGTACATCCACCACACATTTTACCAAGTAAGTTTTTATTATTTAATTTTTAATTGTAGCCCTTATATTGAGGCTAGCAATTCGGAATGTGATTGTGATATGAAAAATACATTTAGAAGGCTATAGTTTTTACTGGCTTATCGAACAAACGAATATGAATGGATCCTAGATCATCACGCCAATTAACTGATTGCCTCTGGAAGTCGACTTCTTACAGAAACACAGCTTCCCTATCATCAAATGTCACGACATGCCACTGCAGTACTGTACATATAGGATTGTGTATTAATTGCAGATTGTAAATTAATTAAAGGTACTTAAATGTAACCATTACAATAATGTCACAGTTACATTTAAGTACTTTGTCTGCTGTCTCTGTGTATACCAGTCCCTAATATATACAATGTATAATGATAACTATATAACATATAGGTCTATGTACATCATTTATGTAAATAAATGACCTTAAAGCAGGGATGTCAAAGATACAGCCCGCTAGCCATGACTGGCCCTCGAGGCAATTAGTTGTGGCCCCAACATTAATTCAATAAGTCGACCCACTATAACACTGTAGATAATTCCGTGTTATATGAATTCCATGTTGTACGAGTCACTTAGATTTTACAAATACGTGAGCCGTTAACAGCCCGGCACACGTATTTGTAAAATCTAAGTGACTCATACAACATGGAATTCATATAAAACGAAATTATCAACAATGTTATAGGGGGGTTGACTGTAATGCTATTTGTTTATTTTTTATTACGTTGATACTGAAGAAAATGTGATATTTTGTATTTAAACAAATAATACTTAAATAAAATTGTTAAACTATTTCGCTAAGAATATTCTTTGTTATAAATTCTATTTAATAGATATCTTGTATCTATTGAATAGAATTGTAGAAGTATGTAGAAAGTGATTTTGGATAGATTTATTTATGAAGATTTATTTTATAAGCATTTAAGTTAAGTTTATTAATATTCTATAAGCGTTATAAACATTATTTTGTAATAGTTTAACGTTTTAAAGTGTGTTATAGGCTCTAAAAGTNCATATTACTTAGAGATATTAATTTTATTTGATTTATTTTTGTGTTTAATTTCTTGTTTACATTATGTTCTCTCTATTTCATCTTTTGAACTTCAAAGTCCATCTAAACAAGATTATTTATTTTTTCTAGAAAAATATGAATGTTGTTTTTTTTATTTTGTTGTCAAATCTTGGATTATTAAAAACGAATTTTTTGATTCAGATACTTTTGGACTACTTTATAGAAAATTTTTGTCCACAAAAGCTAAAATCATCTGGCAACATTGTTCAGTATTCAAGACACTTCCATAATTAGAGACTTTGTTAGGTTTTCTTATTGGTGAGCGAGTTTGGTCAAATAAACTGCAATGGTAAAAAATTTTCAATAAATAATGACAGTAAAAAGAAAAGTTGATAGTGAGTGCCAATTTTTCCAGCCAAAGTGGGAAATTTGGTATTTTTTTTATTGAATGGAATGGTAGAACACTGTTTGATTTTCAATAAGATTATTGCCATTTGTACGGAATTTAATGTGAAAAGACACTATGAAACAAATTATAAAGACAAGTTTGAGTTATTTACCAACAAAATTAGGCAAGAAAAACTGGCATATTTGAAAACTAAACTTATGGGGCAGCAATCATTTTTAAAAAATCAAAAACTGACAGTGAGAATGCATTGAAAGCTAGTTATTCGATTGAACTAAAGATTGCAAAAAACTCAAAAGCTTTTAGTGACGGTGAATTTTTAAAAGAATGTATGCTAGACACGGCCAACATTTCATTCCCATCACAGAAACAAGTCATTCAAGAAATACCCAACTAGAAATACAATTGCTTCCAGAGTAAATGAATTGGCAGAAGATTTGACTTTCAAATTAAACATGAAATTAAAGAATTTATCTGCAGCCTATTCCTTATTCCTTAGCAGCCGATGAAAGTACAGATATCAGAGATACATTGCAGCTTGCTGTATTTATTCATGGAATTAATGAAGATTTTATCATCACAGAAAAGTTGTTGCAGTGCATACCATTAAAGAGTACTACCACAGCTCAAGATATTTACTCAGAAATTGAGCAATTAGTACCAAATTACAACTTGGATTGGAGTAAATTCTGCAGTATTACCACAGATACATCACCATCCATGGTCAATAAAAATGCTGGTGTTGTCACGAAAATACAGAACAAAATTTTAAATGAAATTAAAGGTGAACGACCCAAATTCGTTGGAATTTACCGTATTGTACATCAAGAAGTCTTGGCCTCTAAAATGCTGAAAACAGATCATGTAATGAATCCCATAATTAAAACAGTTAATTTTATTAAAAGTAGAGGACTAAATCACCGCCAATACACACAATTTTTAAGCGATCTTGATGAAAAGTGTTCAGATATTCCCTACTTTGCAGAAGTACGGTGGCTTAGTCGTGGATCAATGCTTAAACGATTTTTCGAATTGCAGAAACATTTTGTTACGTTTATGGCTCAAAAGGGCAAACCGATGAACACAGTGATGAATGGTGGCTTGACTTTGTGTTCCTAGTAGATATGACAGAACACTTGAATAATTTGAATGTTAAACTTCAAGGAAAAATGTAATTGTTACGCAACTGTACTCAAGTGTTCAAGCTTTCAAAATAAAATTAAAGTTGTGGGAATTGCAGCTGCAAGAACAAAAACTTGACCATTTCCCTAGCATTTGTGAAATCGGCATGTACAATGCAGATAAATTAGCAGATTTTTCTTACCATTTGCTTGATCTTATTGCTGAATTTGATAGTCGTTTTGCAGATTTTCGCAAGCTCAATACCTACGACTTTTCTCTTTTTAATGATCTGTTTATGTTCAACGTTGGTAAACCACCGACTTACTTGCAAATGGAACTAATAGATTTGCAGTGTGATACTGCTTTAAAAAGCAAGTTCAATGAAGTTGACATTTTGGCATTTTATACAAAGTACTTCAAAAATCAAAATAGCTATCCCAACTTAAGGAACCATGCTGCCTGAATTTTATGCATGTTTGGAAGTTCATATGTTTGTGAACAGTTGTTTTCAACAATGATGATTAATAAATCTAAATACCGTTCAAGACTTACAGATGAACATCTTCAGTCCATTTTGAAAATCAATACAACATCGTTGACACCAAACATCGAGGAGATAATGAAGCGTAGAAGTTTCTGGAACCTCAAAATAATATTTTGATTTAATACGTCTCTACTTAAAAAAATTATAATTTTTTTTTCTTTAATAAAATCATTCTTTATATACTTCTTATTTATACTTAGTATTACATTTGCATTTTATTTTTAATCTGGCCCGCTGTCATACTCGAGACAAAAAACTGGCACGTAAGGAGTTTGAGTTTGACACCTCTAACTTAATTTAAAGTAACTTCTATCTAAATTAGCATTAGAGTTATTAGGATCGTAAAATAAATTTTACCTTTAATTATTAAATATTCCTTTGAGTTAACTATAATCCTTTTTCTAGGTATTAGTTTCCTGTACAAAATATATATTTCGAGTTTACTTCTCAATACCATTTTATAACATTTACATATTGTCAGCTTCTGCTACAAAAAGTACACGCCTTCGATAATGCGCCCTCTTTCGGACTGTTAATTCTCGACATAATTTTTTTCATTTTTTTTAACTCCGCCCCGTACACTAAAAGTGTCTTTTTCGTGCTCGTTATGAGTCCGGTCAGGCCTACTACGGGCACAAATAATAAATGTACAATTCGGAAAATATCTCAAATAACCTGTCCTAAATTAAATTTGATATTTCCCAGCAGGCTTTTTTTTTTTAACCCTTTCAGCCCTGTGATCATTAAGAGGACCCCTTTTAGCAAGCCTATTATCAGAGCCAGCCCTACCATAGGGCGAACAGAGCAGCCGCTCCAGGCGCTAAATCCTAAGGGGCGCCTCAGTAGTAAAGAAAATTAAAGGGTATAAATTAGGAGCAACCAAGGGGGCATAATAGGATCGCGCTCCATCCTAAAACTTGTTTCGGGCCGGCACTGAGCCACTGCATATGTAAACAACACTATAAACCATATGCGTATAACGTAGGAGTGTATTGTTGGTTGATACCTTTGTCTTACGTGTCCGCCCGACACAAACAAGAATCTCTTATCACTTGATGAGAGTCAATCAAAAGTCAGGCAGGATCGCTTTCGCCTGACCTTTGATTGGTCAGAACACCGACTTAGCTAATGGAAGAGGATGTCTCTAGTTATTAGTCATGTATTGCATAACAGTCTTGTAAATATTTTATACAGCGTGTAATATTTTGTTTTATAAATGAATGTGCATTAGAAGTATTTTACAGTACATACTCTTCATTCGACTGATGATGTCTATTTTACCAAGAGATGGAGATACGCGGACCCGACTCCTTCGAGAAGAGAGTAAAGATAGGAAGTTTGGAGACAAGAAACCGTCTTCCGGGGAAGTAGTGAAAAGGATGGTGAAGCAACAAAAACGACTTTGCAGGAAAACAACCTTTAGCAAACGATATGCAGTAGAATTGACCTGACTAATTGTTATTCTCTTGCCGAAATGGTCTAAGACAATAGTCACCTTCATTTAGTTCTAAATTATCAGGTTTATTGGCTATTATAAAAATGACACATCATATACATGAAATTAACAGATACGAGGGGTGTTCAAAAAGTATCCGACTTTTGGTCGGCAAAAATACATTTATTGATTTTGAAGTACAAAACCATAATCCCCTTCAAAGTAGTCTCTTTGGTAATGTATGCATTTCTACTAGCGCTCCTGCCACTGCTGGAAATACTGCTGGAACGCATCTTTTGGAATGGCCATCAGCCGGTCTATCTCATTCCGCACGATGTCTTCTCTCGACTCAAATCGGGTTCGTTTTAGCGACGAAGGACCTCCTGGTAGTACTCCTTTGTGACGGTTTGGCCTTGTAATGCGTACTCACGATGCACCGCCCCACGGGAGTCGAAAAAACTGTCAACATGACCTTGACATTGCTGCGGACCTGCCGCACTTTTTTTTGGTTTCGGGGATCATCCCCGAAAGCATGTTGAATCTTGCGAATGGTTTCCGCTTGGGTATCGCCAAGCTTTTGGCAAAATTTGATGCAATATCACTGCTCACATTGTTCAATCATTTTTCAACTTACTGGAATCCGACGAGCGCTCACTACACGTCCTCACTCATAGGCCGACTGCCAGCGACTGACGCTTCATGCGAGCGTGAAAAAATTCAGGACAGTGCATGACTGTCATCTCCACCGAAGGAGGCCTCCCGCGCGTCATTGTTTACGCGGGAAAAATTGGTTTACGGTTTCGTAATATCGTCGACCTGTTTTCAAACCTTTTTTTGTATAGAAAATAAAGCGATCGTGTCGCTTCCACCAATGCAGGGATGTAGCCACGTCGGGTACCAATTCGCCAATTTTTTTCGTATTATTTTTCAGTTTCTGTTTTTTAATACCCTTTTTAGACTCAACCATATCTGCGGTCTCTATTTTCTGTCCTTTTACCTTTCATCTGGCTTATCAAACCAAAGCTACCCACAGGTATTTTAAATCATGAAGACAAAATTATATTCAAGTACTATATAAAAATACAGTACAGTAATTTTGAAATGAAAGACAAAATTAATAATTCATATAGTTGACTTGAAAATTTAATAATTGTTTTGATACTATTATAACAGAAACAACGAAGACCATTCTTGCATTGTAAGGCCGATTATTTCATAATTTATTGTTTAGAATGTCGTAGGGCGGTTAGATTTCGAGTGCTCGGGAGCACGCGTTCGTCTGACGTGGAACCCGGGAGCTAGAATCGAAGGATTCTTAATATAGTTACGATATTTATTATTACAGTACAGTATTGCTAGATACTAGAGCCAGGTATACCACAAATTACACGCTCCGTCTGACCCGGTTTGGAGTGCGATAAGCTGTCCTCGGCGCCAGGTAGGTATTAGTCCGTGAATCGGAACGAATTTTAAATTCGGAAACAAATGGATGGACAAGATAGACGACAACGTAACGCTGGTGTTTGCAGAGGCGTGGCGAAAAGATAGAAAGACATCGAGGACTTCGGTCCGCGCGGCACGAAAAAGCACGAATTTCGCTATTTCGACGATTTCAACGGTTTCATTACAACACATCCTTACAAACACTTCTCACCGTAACATTCACAACTGAACCATTGTCTAGTTTGTTCGTCGCATCCAATCATTTACATATCACGCTTCGTTACAGTAAACGACACCGTCACATAACATCAATACTGCTTCCCGAAATCCAACCCCTAGGTCCTCGTCCTGGGAAGTGGAAACGTCACTCGTTTTCGAATAGCGGCTAAAGGGGCTCTGGTACACTAAATATACGCACACTACAGTTGTCTTAATCTTCCTGTGCAACTTTGTCAATACAGACATAAGGATAATTACAAAATACTAAAACTTTCTAAAGATATTTTTATTGAAGAGCACGGAGACGCAATTAAAAATATTTCAATTATTTGAATTTTTCGCTCTCAATTCCTCTGTCATATTGCGTCTACGTTCTCTCCAATCTTAAATTTTCTACTTTCAGTTTCAATTTTAACTTGCACGAACGAACAAATTAGAGTTATTTTGGTAATGGGGACTCACATTCAGCGTGAAATCACCAAAGAATTTAACAGGATGACATCTCACCAATTCAGGCATCCCACCAATCACATAAAACTATTATGTAGTGTATTAAACCTTCCAGCTGACCGGTAGGCCCGACGGTCGGACGGATGAGGCGATTAAGGTGGTCAGATTAACGCTCTGGGACATTTGGGATCGAATCCGGGGGAGGGGTCGAAACACTCCAGAAGTTTTTTTATGAGCGGTCGTTTTTAGGTATGTTGGACTTCATCCTTCATCAGCCAGTCCCCTTTCTCTTATATCTTGAGAATAAGGTCTTTTTAGTTCTCACAGGGCGGATAAAGCCAAAATTGAAAAAGAGTGTGGTCCCCATCATCAAGATAATTTATTCATCCTTACTCAGCACTGTGCTTTATCCGTAAAAGTATAAACAGAGATCATCATAACCCCTATGGTTTAGACTTATGGCACAATACAGTACTGTATATATTTTTTCTCATTTTTGGCTCTTTTTGTCCTGTAGGCTACCGTCCACCAATGGACGAGTAGATAAAATCACTGAAGGCCGATCAACAGGCTGGCCACGTGTTTTTCGGGTTTTCTTTATGTTTGTAACTGTCACGTCGTGTTTCACCACAGCTAGTAAAGGGCGAGTCAAGCGCAGCGCCCAAAGACTTGGCTGCCCGATTTATAAGCTGAGAAACCGCGGGCACTTCTCTTCTTTGGTCCTGGTCCTCAGAGTACTGTGACGCAGTACTCTGAGGGGTCAAAAGATCTACGTTCAACAAAACTGGAGAAAAACCGGAAATAATGATGAAAGATAATTTTATAATTGTTCAAGCCATTTAAAACTCCCAAAAGAGTTCACATCCTCACACAGGTGGTTCAGCATAAAAGTACAGTACTGTAGTCAACTGTTCTGGAATAGTTAAGTCTGCTGAACGCAGCCACTGACAAACATTTTACAAAATTTAAAAGATTTAAAACTAAAAATAAAAGCTACTTTCAGTTGTGTAATTTTATATTTGCACACTTAGTACACACAAACTTCTAAACTTTTTAATAATTGTTATGTACTGTACTGTACATAAAATTGAAAAAACAAAACTGAATCAGTCGTGTGACATTGAAAATATTTTACCACTTTCATATAATACATATAACTAAGAATACCTTTAATTCTCATCTACCTTGTTTTAATTATAATCATCTGTTATACGCCGGTATTAAAAAGTACAAANAGCAGCCGCTCCAGGCGCTAAATCCCAGTGGGCACCTCAGTGGTAAAGAAAATTAAAGGGTATAAATTAGGGGCAACCAAGGGGGCGCCATAAAAAGATCTCGCTCCATCTTAAAACTTGCCTCGGGCCGGCACTGATTTTGTAACGAAGGTGGAACTGAATAATTTCCTGGGGGTGAGGGGAGAACTTTATCTGTCGCTATAAACGACTTCGAAAGGTGACTTTCTAGACTTCAGGGTGACGCAGTACTCTGAGGAGTCAAAAGATCTACGTTCAACAAAACTGGAGAAAAACTGGAAATAATGATGAAAGATAATTTTATAATTGTTCAAGCCATTTAAAACTCCCAAAAGAGTTCACATCCTCACACAGGTGGTTCAGCATAAAAGTACAGTACTGTAGTCAACTGTTCTGGAATAGTTAAGTCTGCTGAACGCAGCCACTGACAAACATTTTACAAAATTTAAAAGATTTAAAACTAAAAATAAAAGCTACTTTCAGTTGTGTAATTTTATATTTGCACACTTAGTACACACAAACTTCTAAACTTTTTAATAATTGTTATGTACTGTACTGTACATAAAATTGAAAAAACAAAACTGAATCAGTCGTGTGACATTGAAAATATTTTACCACTTTCATATAATACATATAACTAAGAATACCTTTAATTCTCATCTACCTTGTTTTAATTATAATCATCTGTTATACGCCGGTATTAAAAAGTACAAAATTTGCCTTAATTAATACGCATATTTATAAATTATTCCATTACATTTCTACAAAAATATTAAAATGTCAATGTCGTATTTAGGAATATGCTTCCATAAAAAAATACTACGTCATTAATTAAT